CCCTGGTGCCACACAGCCCTTTCCTGTGGGTCTTTCCCACCCAGGTCCCTGCCACTGGCCCCAGGGCTCAGGCCACAGCCCGTTCCTCCCGCGCCATGCACACATCAGCCGCTGGCCCCAGAAGACCCCGGGTCTGGCCCCAGCGGCCTTCCCACGTGGGCTCCCGCTGTCCCTACCCTGCAGGGTCCTGGCGCAGGAGCGTGGTGGTCCTTGGGGCAGGGCAAGGGCTTCTGTTTCCGATGACGTCTGATCCCGGAAGCCCTCCCGCTGCAGCTGCTTGGGAACGTGAAGTAAAGCAGACGTGCGCAGCTGTGCGCGTAGGAAGGCGAGGATGCCACCAGGCCAGAGTGTGTGGGTGCACTGCTTGTGGGGATGGCAGGCACGGAGACTGGGCTGCTCTGGGAACCCTGGGTTCAGGCTGAGGGCCCGGTGGAGATAGGCCTTCAGGTCTCTGGGAGTCCGTGAACGCAGTGGACACTGCTGCGTGGAGCCAACATCCCTGAGGGCCGTGGTTACACCTGCAGTAAGCAGACTAGGAGAGGCGCGCCTCACAGCCCTGAGCAGAAAGCACGGCAGGCTCTCGGCCTGAGATTGCTGGAGTCTCCTGCATTCCAGAGCTGAAGTGTCTGCTACCCACGGTCCACAGACACCACCCGGGGCTGGTGATGGTGATGCAGAAGCTCTGGGGGGCATCGTTCCAACCCTTCCCCTTGAGATTCCTGCACGTGATTCAACCCTAAACATGAGAGCGCATCCCGGGAATAACGCACGGGTGAAAGCAGGCTGCGGGCTGTGTGCTGGGGTGTCCTGTCATTACAGTGCTCTGGAGGCTGAAGCAGGAGGCTCACATGAGCCCAGGTGGTGGAGGCGGCAGTGAGCCGTGTTCATGCCACGGCACTCCTGCTTGGACCACAGAGCCAGACTCTGTCTCCAAAGATAAAAAAATAAAACAGACTGTCATGGCAGGTGCTCCAGCACTCCACTGGAGAGGCCATCGAGCATGTAAACCTACCCTGAAGCCATCAGAAGGCAGGAGAGGGGTGCGCTTTAGAAAAGAACAGGATGCTGTTGAGACTGAGCCTTTTTTTTTTTTTTTTTGAGTCAGAGTCTCACTGTCACCCAGGCTAGAGTGCAGTGGCACGCTCACGGCCATCATAGCCTCCACTTGCTGGGCTCAGGCGATTCTTCGCCTCAGCCTTCCAAGTAGCTGGAACCATAGGCATGCGCCCCCATACCCGGCTGGTTTTTTTGATTTATTGTAGAGATGAGGACTCACCAAGTTACCCAGGCTGGTCTCAAACCTCTGGGCTCAAGCCATCCCCTCGCCTCCACCTCCCAGAGTGCTGGGATGACAGGTGTGAGCCACCGTGCCCAGCCAAGACTGAGCTGTTGCTATATCTAACAAGCAACACGAGCTGTGTAATCTACAGATAACATAAGTCAGAAGGAAGAAGCTATTGAACACAGGCATTGTGTGAGCAGATAATTCCACAAAGATGAGCCTCTGAAGGCAAGTGTGGAAAGGGACTTGGCCTCCTGGTGTCAGGGAAGCAGATAACAGCACAAGTGGGTGAAAGTCCGCATTCAGCAGATGCTGGGCCACGTGTTGCACATCTACAGAACGGGGGCTGGTGACAGCTGGGGCTGTGGAGCACACGTGGCCACTTGTGGCCATGCATGTTCATGGAATCCTGTCAGAGAGGGAAGAGCCGGTCTGCTGACTGGGGAAGACGTTGCCAGATCAGCAGAGTTCAAGACTGCCCCCACCTCAGAGCAGTGGCCTGGCAAGTCACACATCAGTACCTAGTCAGCAGGAGCTTGGGGCGCTGTGCCAACCGCAGGAAGCCGAGAAAGCCATCCCTGGAGTCCCATCTGTGTGCCGGCGTCCTTTCCAGGCCTGGAGCGAGGAAGCCCTGAGAGCCTGCACGGGTGGTGGCAACACACATGGCACAGTTCACGTAGCAAGAAGTGGGAGGCCCCCACCCTTGACCCGACAGCAGGTCGCATGTCCATGCAGCGACAGTTCCAGCAGCCAGCGTGGACTCACCAGAGCAGCGCATAGGCCAGAGTGGACCCTAACCGACGCCATGTGGGGAAGCAGGCTCCAGAAGCAGCGAATGAGATTCCTCTCTACAGGGCGAGGGTCAGAGGTCCACGGATGTGCGGCGGAAGTTCGGCGAGATGCTCCGGCAGAACAAGTCAAGTCTGCAGTCATGTGTGGCAAAGACAGGAAGGGGATGTGACAGGGCCCTACAGGCAGTTTCCTTAACCATGGCGTTACCCCGTGGGTTTTTCTGTGTTTTTTGTAGTTCTTCAATACTTTATTTTTTTTCAAAGCAATAATGCGGCCAGGTGCAATGGCTCAAGCCTGTAATCCCAGCACTTTGGGAAGTGGAGGCAAGAGAATTGCCTGAGTCCAGGGGCTCGAGACCAGCCCGGGCAACTTGGTGAGACCTCATCTCTACAATAGATCAAAAATTAGCCAGGCGTGGTGTCGTGCACCTGTAGTTCCAGCTACTTGGAAGGCTGAGGCGGAAGGATCATCTGAGCCCAGCCGATCAAGGCTGTGGTGGCCATGAGCATGCCACTGCACTCCAGCCTGGGTGGCAGAGTGAGACTCCGTCTCAAAACAAAAAAATAAAAAGTGATCATGCAAAGCCAGGCCCCTCGGCACATGCCTGCTAGGTTCAGCTACTCAAGAGAGGGGGGCAGGAGGATCCCTTGAGTCCAGAAGTTCAAGGCTAGCCTGGACAATATAGCAAGACCCTGTCTCTAAAAAAAACAAACCTCACAGAAAGAGACAATGCAGATTTAGAAGAAAAAACGATTCCTAGAAATAAGAAATATAATCATAGCAATTTATAACTTGGTTGGAGGGTGTTAAAATACAGGTGAGATGCAGCAGAAGGGCATAGTGAACTAGAGGCAAGCATTCTGAGGCAGGGACCCAAGGAACAGCGCTGTTAATGAGATAAATGTTGCAGTCCGTCCTTCATGCCCTTAGGTTCAACCAACCGCAGACTGAAAAAAAAAATTGTTTTTGAGTTGGAGTCGCACTCTGTCACCCAGGCTGGAGTACAGTGGCATGCTCACAGCCACCACAGCCTGGACCTACTGGGCTCAGGCAATCCTTCCGCCTCAGTCTTCCAAGTAGCTGGAACCACAGGCATGCACCACTACTCGCAGCTAATTTTTTAATTTATTGTAGAGACGAGGTCTCGCCATGTTGCCCAGGCTGGTCTCAAATCCACCGGCTCAGGCAGTCCTCTCGTCCCTGCCTCCCAGAGTGCTGGGATTACAGACGTGACCCACCATGTCCAAACTGATAATATTTTTTAAAAATTGTGTTGGTACTGAACATGTACAAACCTTTTCTTGGTGTTCCTTAAACGATACAGTATAACAACTATTTACATGGCATTTACGTTGTGTTAGGTATTCCAGGCCACCTAGAGATTAAAGTACACAGAGGACACGTGGAGGTCATGTGCAAATATGACACCATTTCACACCAGGGGCTTCCGCATCCATGGGCATCGCAGGCGCCAAGACTTGGCTGTGTGTGAGAGAGAGAGAGAGAGAAATTGGCACAAGACAGAAAGCCCAATGTGCTGAGTGTCAAACAAATCAACGAGTGTCGGGGCAGCAATCTAGTAAGAGAATGGCTGGAATTTTCCCAAATTAATGAGAGTCTGGCATTCTCACCTTCAGGAAACCAGCAAGCTGAAGCATGACCATCAAAAAACAGCGGCGACGGACTCAGGGAGGATCACGAAAGCAGCAAAGAGAAGCTGAACACATACCCTGAAAGTAGAGCAAGCTACAAGTGGGGACAGTAGAAGTCCAAGGACGGGCTGGGAAGTGCAGCCCAGAACCCTGTGCCCACCAGCCCCTTGAAGGAACAAGATCCAGTGGTTGCCAGCAACGGATGCTCGCTTAAGGAGGGAGCGGGCACAGGAAGGATGGTGGGAGAAGGGATGCGGGGAACACCGGAGACCCCTGGGCCCTTCCAACCTGGCGCTGACTGGGTAAAGCAGTGATGCTGGTGACTGACAAGTGGGGCGGTGACAAGGCCCAACCAAAGGACCAAGGACAGCGCCCTGCAAAGGAGCAGCTGGGGGCTGGGCGACGCCCTCCAGGCCTCCTGCCGTTAGGGGCAGGGAGTGCACGCGTGGCTTCAGGCCATGGTGGAAAGGGTTTTTTTGTTGTTGTTTTTTTTGAGTCGGAGTCTCACTCTGTCGCCCAGACCGGAGTGCAGCGGCCGCTCCCGACCCCCGCAGCCTCGACCCGCTGGGCTCCGGCGATCCTGCCGCCTCAGCCTTCCGAGTAGCCGGAGTTACAGGCG